TCGTTTCGTCCCGTCTCATTTCGTCCCACACTTGTTTCGTCCCCTCTCGTTTCGTCCCACACTCGTTTCGTCCCGTTTATATTTTCTATCATTCTACTCATTTTATAACTATTCATTTTTTTCTATCAACTGTATACTAATCAATATTAATATAATTTGATAATTGATACATGGCTTGATAAGTTACATTTATTATTTTATTTACGAGTTACAATGAAACAGGTAATTTTACAGTATTAACACATTTGCTGCATTTGATTGCAAGCTCAGTTCCGGACAAAGTACCATTTTCATATCTTTTAAAATATTCCTTCAATTTATTATCACAATTATTGTATACTTTCTTCCGCTTGACCGTTTGCGTGAAAGATTCTGTATAACGTGTATAATTATATTCATTTTCTTCTTTTAATGCTTCGATAAACTGATAAATATGTGGATGAACACCAAAATGCTGTTTTAATCGATTATGAAAACCTTCGACATGATTATTTGTTCGCGGCTGATCAGTAATAATTAAATCATGAACATTCCAAATATATGATGGAAATATAGCGTCATCATCAACATATGTTTCGGTTATATAATCATTGAATATTGTGGCTGCTGGATCATCTGGTGTATATTCTGACATAATATTAGCCCATGTTTCACCAACAATATGTAACGGTATCAGCGCTAAGCCAATTGCACCACGAAACCAATTAATTGAACTTTCTGCACATTTCGAATCCCCAACTTTTAAATATGATGTTAAGCCACCTGTCTGCATACGTCTCCACCAGAGCCCTGCAGGTTGCCAATATTTGGCAACCTATAACCTAACCTATAAAAAATTTCACAACCTAATCCTAACCTAACCTATGAATTCGACAACCTAATCCTAACCTAACCGTTGAAAAAAAAAATAGAACAACCTATAACCTAACCTAGTCTATAACTTTTGCAACCTAATCCTAACCTAATCTATAGCTTTTGCAACCTAATCCTAACCTAACCTATAGGTTAGGTTAGGTTCAAGCCATGTATCAATTATCAAATTATATTAATATTGATTAGTATACAGTTGATAGAAAAAAATGAATAGTTATAAAATGAGCAGAATGATAGAAAATGTAAACGGGACGAAACGAGTGTGGGACGAAATGAGACGGAACGAAACGAGAGCTAATTAACAAATACGGGACGAAACGAGAGGATACCCATCGGGTAAGAGAAAAGGTAAAGGTCGTCCGAAAAAGGTTCGTACGGTCTTGTTGCCATAAAGTTAGTTTTTTCTTGCATATATTTTCTTTAATTGATTTGGTGATCAAAAGTCTTATTTTTTGGTGGTCATTTCACTGCTAATAAATTTGGTGATCAAAAGTCACGTTTTGGTAATCCAAACGCATTTTTCCCGAGAAAAATTGAATTTTGTATTAAACCCCTCCCCGTAATAGAAGCCCCCCCGAAAAGCTTTATTAGTATTTCTAAAGTAAAAACTGTCAAATTTTCAGGATTTTAAGATTAACTCGTTCAGATTTTACATACCAGCATGAGAATCTCGAAATCCCTTCGAAAAGCTCTGGAAAACTCCGAAAAACTCTAAAAATTGTTATAAAATTTTTGTACGTGAAACCCTTGAAAAATAATGGAACCTATTAGAAGCCCTCGGGGCTTCTATTGCGGGGGAGGTTTACTAATCTTTTGATAAAGCTGATGATTGTCTTTAGTATCAATTGGAGAACTTACTAAGCAATTTTTTTGCGAAACATTTCAGTATTACAGCGTAACGTGTAGCAAAAATGTGTGTGTATATAAAAAGAATTACATAGATTGTCAAACGTGTGATATGTTTTCTTGATGGCGGCATTATATAACATGTCCATGATTTTTAGTTAGTAAATATGTTGATATCATTTTCAAACTCTGACTACACTTCGGCCAACTAGATCGCTACATCATTGTATGATATATACAACTTCCAAGATTTAAATGTCTTCTGATCATATAGATAAACCGAGATACTTGCCTTTTTCTATGATCTTTTCCGTGCTTTTCACATAAAAAACGTTTAGTTTTCATAACCAAGATCTTTTGATTTTTTTTTCGAAATTTTGTCACCCAGGATTAAAAGTATGTTATTTCCGTGATCATTTCTCATTTTGTACGTTTTGACTAAATAAAGTCTTAAGATAGATGCGGATATTACGAATTTAAAATTTTTTATTCTATTTCCGTTTATAAGGGCAGAACAACAGGCACTAATTTATTCAAAATCGATGTCGCGAATAATTACGACATAATTTTTTTCTGCTTGATTGATGACGAACACTGTTGCAACAACAAAAAGAAAGACGTGCGTATCAATGACAGAATATTATTATGTCAATCAACTATGCTCTAAATAGTTAATTATAAAAAATAACAACCGTACGAATTAAACAACAATAAAAATAGATAAGATGTGGTCGAACGTCATAGAAAAAATGAAATTCTACTTTGTTTTTTACACGCTTCAGCATGTTTAATTTCCTTTGTAACCAAGAAATGATCGAGTGAACTTGTCGAACGATACACTCTAGACGCTTATTAAACACTTCACTTAAAGAGAACTATACGATTGAGTGGAAGATCGAACAGTTTTTTGTTGAAATATATATCGAATATATATGTGTATTGTATAGCTATTGTACCGTTCTTATTTAGTATATAGAAGAATTAGAACTTTCTTTTTATTTAATAAACTTTATTAAATATTTATTTTGTGTTGTTTGTCTAACTCCGGGATTTTGCTCGCGAAAAATATCGACTATCTAATTTTTATTATTCTACAGAAATGGCACTTTCAATTCTGCACTTATTGTTTTTCGGCGTTCTCTACCAACAGAAACAGCAGAAAATGTATTTTTATCAATTTATAGTGTATATATTCCACGCTTATTGCAACCTGGTTTTGCTCTGAACCGTCAAAGTTTGTCATATGAAAACAAAATCAGTCTTTGGAACCGGCTTGGGAGGAATTTATTTTTGCTGATCAAGGGTCAAATTTTTTTGGGTGCAGAATCGAAGTTTCAGAAAACTGATGCAATGTATCCTATTCGGCTTCATGTTTTACGTAGATTCCGAATATTGAATTCATTCTTAGTTTAAATTTTGTTTTGGTAACGAAATTTACCAGTTACTTAGAATGAAAGATAGAGGGAAAACGGGCCTCAACTGGTACTCGAACAGTCGAGGTGCTTTTCCTCTATTTAAAGTGGTTGTAAATTTGTCTCTATGAAGAAATGAGGCAGTAAAAAACGCTCTACAAGATGACTAATGATTGACCCTGTTAGCTCATCTAGTAAGAATGTTATAGGCTTAGAAATGTGCTTCACAAAAAAGGAAAATCAACCGTGAACCCGGTCCATATGGTGGTGCTTTCAGTAAAAGTCCCATAACTTCATCAAAACAACACGCTTTTCGATCGGATTTGTTTTGCTTTGATCAGAAATGATTGCTCTTCTCTACCTAGTTGCAACATCAAAACTTCGATCACGTTTTCCGTTTCTTGCTGGGTATACTGTTGGAAACGGGGTTGTCGATTTTTGACATATTTTTGAAACTTGATTCTCGAGCACACACCATCTGCTCTAAAAAGTCTTTTTACAAACCCCAAGAAAGAGCACATTTGAAAGTACCTAACACAAATTGTGTTGTCGTTTTTGCTCCGCTTTTTTTACGGAAATAATAGGAGAAGAAGAAGATTGAGTAAAACAAACCAAATTTACAAAGTTTTTATTTTTTTCGCCTCGTGTATAATTTGCTTAGTTTTCTTGATTGAAGTTCTGAAATTAAAGTTTAGGTACGGATTTTGTAGAGAATTTCACGACGCTTCTATTAAAAAAAGAACTTATTCTAGGGAACCTAAGGAACAGGAGTTAAACCAAAAATACCGAGACCGGATTCATGGTTGATTTTTCTTTTTTGTGAAGCACATTTCTAAGCCTATAACATTCTTACTAGATGAGCTAACAGGGTCAATCATTAGTCATCTTGTAGAGCGTTTTTTACTGCATCGTTTCTTCATAGAGACAAATTTGCTATCACTTGTTTCACTATAGAAAAATATATTATTCAAATCGGGTCAGGACTTCTGGGCCTCCCTTTATAGCTCGAACAGAGAGGTTAAGCTATTAGTGTATATGATCTTTTATAAATGAGCCAAGATAAATTTAAATAAGCTTTATCACACACACTTCTCTAACAGTGGTACATCTGATCAAGATGGTTCCTTTACAATTTATGTTCAGTATATTATGTAGATGTGCCCTTTCATCAGACAAAAATTTAACTGATCTGTATTTGTTGAGCTATTTTGGAAATAGCATATTTTTTTCCGTGTGTTTTGAAATCTATTTGTCTTATGACTCATACGTGCACAGTAGATAATTAAAATAGATATACAGAAGATGATCAGGTTTGAGTATGAATCATTATGAAATCGCGAGACAGGGACCGATCTACCAAGATCTTGTTTTTATTAAATACATGAAGCTGGACATGTGCTGGAAAACTAGTATAAATTAGATGGAGAATAAAAACCAGTTTATGCATTCAAATGTATTGCGAGATCCAAAGCATATTAATCTTAGTATAAACTTAATTCGATTTTTTTCTCGTGATCCAATCAATGATTTTGCCATTAAAAAAATTTAGTTTTCATATATTATCGAGATCTTTTACATTTTTTTTCTTAAAAATTTGTCAACTGGGATGGAAAGAAGATCATTTCTGTGATCTTTTAAATTCACATTCTGTCAAAAACTTCTGTGCTGATTCTATGCTGATTAAATCTAAACGCTAGACATTTAAATGATATAATTTTCAACAATCAAGTCTTTTTTTACCCTGTCTCACAGCTATAGCTCGAATCAAGGTTAAACTTTTCGTATATTCAATCTTTTAAAAATGAGCCAAGAATAAACTTTGTCACGCACACTTCTCTATCAACGGTTTATCCGATCAATGTGGTTTTTTCACACTCTATGCTCAATATATTGTGTAGATGTGCCCTTTCAGCAGACAAAAATTTAACTGATCTGTAGTTGTTGAGATATTTTGGAAACAGTCGATTTTTTTCTATCTTCTGACTTATACGTGCACAATGGATAATTAAATGAAGATAGACTGAAAAACATCAAACAGGAGCTTTATGATTCATAACAATGATGCCATCGAAGCATTGATGTCAACAAAACCTTATTATAATATGAGATTCAATTGTGTTCGTTGTAGTAAGAAAGTTTACTGACAGTCCACATCATCAGTGTCATATGCAGACAAAAAAAAACTTATGTCACATACGCAGACATTCTGATCTATTAATATTATTCTAGCCGTTATTCACTACTCATTTTGCGCTTCTCGTTCTTCTTCCTATCATTTCTACCATCTAATGCATTAATTACTTTAATATATTCTTATTCAATTTATATATTTCTCAAAAATACAGTTTAATTAGTTAAACTTAAACTAAAGTACTACATCAAATCGTGAGACAGGAATCGATCTACCAAGATCTTGTTCTTCTATTAGATTCATCCAATAATATATGAGATGAATATTCTTCTCTATTTAGCAAATTATTCTGAAAAAAATGATTTTTTATTTTTTTATAATTCAATTTAATAAACTAAAATAAATAAATAAAGTTCAAAAAGAAGATAATATTCTTTTCAGTTAATTTATGATACTATTTTTTATATTCAGTTATCTTGATGTTATTAATCTAAGTTTCATTGACATAGTCTGACATAGAAAATCTGTAAGTGTATCATTCATTCATAAAAGGTTAACTTTCTTGTATTATTCTATTTTCTTTTTGAAAAATATTTTTTATGTCAATCATTAAATAATTATTTTTTTTTTCTTCGTCTTTTTGTTATGTTTTGTTATTTGAACGAACATTTTCCTTTCTCAGATATGATTTACAATATAGTATGACATTTTCTAAAAAAAGAATCTACCAATAAGTACAATATGACTTGTCTATTTTTTTATTTTCTATTTTTTCTTCTGTTATCTTTTATGAATTTATCTATTTAATAAAAGTTATTGTCTCTTATATATTAAAAAAAGAAAAATACACTTCTCTCTATCTTCGATTTTTCTTTTCTCTAAAGATAAGAAAATGAACGACAAAAAAAAAAGAAGAAAAATATGCTTAATTCAGAAATGAGAGAAATAATGTTCATTTACTTTCTTACCTTTTATTGAAAAAAAATATATTTTTTAGTTAATTTTTATGTTTTAAAATCAGTAATTAATTGATTAAAAATAATTTGGTTAGATTTCTAAAAGGTAAGATGATAATTTTAATTAAATTTTTTATAATAAAAAAATCTATATGTTTTTATTTTTGAATATATTATACTGTAGGAGAAAAAATTGATTTCGAAAAAAAAAATCTATATTATCATAGTATCTTTGATTTAGTATATGAATTATTCCATGAATAAAACATCATTTATTATCTATTATAATACATGCACATTTACAAACACAATATTGTTACGTTATGTTGGAACGTTTATTTTTATTGCTGGTTTATTTTCAACAATTTTAAGTATTTGTGTATTTACACGAAAACCATTGAGTAAGTAATTGATTAGTGAAGAATGGTGTGAGTGTATGAATACTACTATTGTTCATTTGTAGTAAATAAACATATTATTTCTTCTTTTTCTCTTTTATTTTAGGAAATAAATCATGTTGTTACTATTTTCTAATATTAGCAATTAGTGATTGTTTTCATTTGTTAACAATAACAATTGAATTAACAGCACCACATGGTCTAAATTTTGATTTAATGAAATTAAATTCATTTTTATGTAAACTTTTAATATTTTTTATCTATTATTCATCACATTTATCAAATATGGTATTAACATTAGCATCTATTGATCGATTTTTATTAATTTATTGTTCAATAAAATCAAAACGTTTTTGTAATATTCATACAGCAAAATATTTTGTATTATTTTTTGTCATTATTCTTATATTTATTAATGGTCATTTGTTATACGGTTTTACTCTAATAAAAATTTCTCATTTTGAAAAACATTATGATTGTCATATAAGTAATAAATTTTATCTTAAATTTTATGTTTTTTTTGATACTTATGTTGAAACAATATTTTTTTGTGTAATACCATTTATAATTATGACCGGTTGTTCAATAATGATTATTATTAAAATTTTACAAACAAGACGAACTGTTCAATATAATTCAAATAGATATTATTATTATTATTATTGTTGTTGTTTTAAAACACCAACAACAATTTGTTTATCTAATGGTGATTCAACTACAATTAAAAATACCATGCAACGAAAATCAAATCGTCGACGAGAAAAAGATATACAATTAAGTTTTATGTTAATTGGAACATCCATTGCTTTTATTCTTTTAACATTACCAGCAGAAATAAATGATCATTTTTCATTAATACAACCGCATACATGTCCATATTGGTTTCAAAAAGTTTTATTTATATTAATGCAACAAACATATTATGCTGGACATTTTTATATTTATTTACTTACTGGTCAATTATTTCGAAAACATTTAAAACATCTTTTATGTGGTCGAAATAGACGACATTCTCATCATTCATCAATGAATAATACAAATAAACGAACAACAGTAAGTGATATAACACAAACAGATTATAGAAGATGTAGTGAACAACAGAGAATGTTTATTCATCATGATCAACGATTAACAGAAAGACAGAGACGAAGTTTACCAGTAAAATATTTATAAAAGATTGACAATATTAAAATTTGTTATTATTTACCTTTTTTAAAAAATAAAATAATAATTTTTTTTTTTTGTTTTTAAATTATCCATGTTGAACGTGAAAAAAGAGAGTATTTTGTAATATTTTTATTGACTTACTATATTTTTCTATTGGATGATGAGAGATTAAATGCGATGTTTTAGTCTAACAGACTATTTTTATGGGATTTTATTTTGCTCATATTTACATGTCTTATCGTATAATCGACGTGTATTTTCATTGTGTATAATCTAAAATAAACATTTTTATTCTATCTTTTAGTAAAACGATTATTAGAATTAAGGGTACTACCTCCTCTCCTTTTAGACTTTCCGTGGAAATGCTGTGAAATAAAAACTAAAATGTCACTAAGACTTCATATTTTCAGAACTGATTGAAAACGCCATGGAATATTTCATTCATTTTTGTTTCAAATTTTTAACTATTATCGTTCACGAGTTTTCCAGAAAAACTCGATTTTTCATTGTGTCACATTACGACCACCTTAAATTACATCCAATCAAGTTAAAAATTTTACTAGACATACTCAAGGTAATATTGTATAGATATTTTGGAAGAAATTTTTCTTTAAGATCTTTCCTGGTCCAATTATAGAAAAAATACTGAAAAATGTCTCAAAAACCAAGTTTTTCGAGTTTAAAAACCCTATAACTCGATAAAGAAAGATCTAAAATAAAATTCAAAAAAAAAAATACCCCTGCAAAAGTGTCTTGAATACCTCTGATAAAATTTTTAATTTGATCGTATAAGATTTAAGGAGAGTCGTAATGTAACACAGTGAAGATCGATAGCAAAAAAATACCCTCTATTCTAGTGACAAAAAAATTAATATCAAGAACGTTTACAGAAAAGAAAAAGAGTTTTGCTTCATAAACAGTCAAATATTTTAGTAAGAACTAATAGGGACCGTTTTTTAACTACCACAATTGATAAGAATCACGCATATGCAAAACAGAAGTGCTTATGTCATATATATTCGTCTAATATTCGTTTTCCGTTCTAAAAAAAAGAAAAAGAAATTGATTATTACGACAGTATCACGCACTTCTACAATTTATTCGACCGGAAACAGAACTTAAAGTGTGTCTAAGATTGTAATGTTCAAAACTAACAATAAAAAACGTTTCCGTTTATAAGACCAAACTAAAACAGTGACGAATAATATAATGAGAGATAAACAACAATAACAACTGATTTTTTTCTTTTTTTTTACTTGTGTATAAATTATTATTTTGCAAAAATAGTATCATAATGAAAAATACTTGGAAAAGAAAATATTTTTTTGTTCAATAATAATTATTTAATTTATAAAAATTTGTAGATAATTCTTATCCTCTATGTTAGAAGTCAAACATGATTATAAATATTTATTCTATAAATTGTGTTGACAATGATTAGACAATGTTTCTGTTCTCTAGATTTTCTACACTTAAATATTATCATTCAACAAATATAGGAAATTTTCAAAAAACATTATAAATTTTTACAAAATTACTAAAGAAAAATGGCACGGTAATAATTATTAATTGAAAAAAAAAACAACAAATTTCAAAAGATATTGAGAAATAGAACATAGATTATTCTGTTGTTAAAAATATGATAAACAAAAAAAAAAAAATGACAAAAATATCTGGATTTTACAATCTTCATATAGTAAGAATATAGACTATTTTTTTAAATCAATAATTTCTAATACGATATATAATAATGTTTTAATAGGATATATTCTAAAACATGCAAAAATAACAAGATTGAAGTCTTAGTTTTTTTACATGTAATGAAAGTAGATTACAGATAAATAGTAACTTTTTAAGTATAATGAAAGATTTAGATTAATTGAATGAAAATAAATATAAAAATGAGTAACTAGTAAATTAAAAAGGTGTGATGTTTTTTTAGAAATATTTGAAGTTAGTGTTTCTTATAAACACTGATGAATTTACATTTTGATTTCTAATGACTTTATTATTATTATTATTATTATTATTTGATGTATCCATTTATTCTTGTATATGATTCTATTCTTTCGATTTATTGTTGCATAAATTTCTTTTCTATTTCTTTTGCCATTTTTTGTTTTTATTTGAATTAATCTTATCTTACTTATTTTTCATCAGAACTTTAGATTCTAAATGAAAATAAATGATTCTATTGCTATATGAGAATTTGTTAAGTAGTAAATATATTTAGGTCGAATAATAGTAATTAATTTCACTGAAAAAAGAAATTTCACTATAGAATTGAGTGCCATAAGTATCAAAACATAAAAACAATAAGAATAACTGAAACTATTCACCTAATAGAATAGTTATATTACATAGACAGGATTGCACTCAAAGTTAGGGCGCTCTGCATGATCTATAAAAAAATTTCTAAAGAATTATATTTATAGAAAAAGTTAACATAAAAAAGGATTAGTATTCAAAAAATTTTCAATTTTCTTAGGGATGAATTTTTTTTTTTTCAAGTCTATTTTATAAGGAGTGGTTCATTTCAGTGTATTCATTTGATCACTCTCCATTGAAAAGTTTTAATACATTTTCAAGGTTTTTAGTAAATGAATAGGTTTCATATTTAATGTTTTTTTTTTTATATGAATACTTTTTTTTTCTTCTATTAGTTAATAATGAGTGAACTGATAGAGACAACATACAAGAAAGGAAATAGGAAAACCGGTGTTTTTTATCATCTTCAAGACCGAGAAACGAAGTGTAAAATGTTTTTTTGTTTAAAGAGTGCTATTTGAATAAATGATACTAACAATTGAAAGTATACTGAACGATCCACCTCACATTACGTTTTTATTACTGTCAATCAGGTAGAATCTTTTGTTGATAATGTTGCGATAAATGATGCATTTGAATCTGATGCATGGATAGACTGTTATGCTATCAGTTTCATTAACTGCTGGAATTATCAAAAATGAGTTTTCATATTGATGATGGTACTTATTATTTTGAAGATCTTTTTCAGTCTATTTTTGTTGGATACGTTATGTCTCCTAAAACTTTTTTCTATTTACTTTGCTTTCCTAAATTTTTTCAATATGAAAATCTCTAACACTAATGAACTACATCTTTATGGAAATCATTTGATTTCGTTCTAAACCGTTAAGTTCTTCAGAGAAATCTAACTTCACAGAACATTTGATCTCTTTTATGTTTAGGCTCAATATGAGTAGACTGTCTCCGCCATCACATATTCGTTTTTATTAAGACTAAACTACAATTTAATTTAAAACAGTATTTACGGATGTGACGGAGAAAGCAAGGTAGAATTTTGTAGTGAAAATCATCTTTTATTTTATCTGATTGACTTTTTCGAGCAGATACCGATCTATTTGCGTCAGCAATTATAAGAAAGTTGCTGAGAATAGAGTGGGTAGGAGACATAATAATAATAATACATTCTCGGATATAAGTTTTATTGCATAAGATATGCATATATTTATTCCAAACACACGCGAAAAAAGCAGAAGATCTTATGTTTTTGAGCAAACAAATAAAAATGCAGTTTTACATCAGTAAAGCCCAGTAAGCAATGTGTACAGTGCCGAAACATACTAGAACTATAGCTAGTAGATAAACACGTTCTAAGAAGTAGAGAATACTAATCATATTCTATTTGTATTGAAGTTGAACTCTGTTAAAACTTCTTAGAATTTCTACTCTCGTCGTCTGTGCACGACTTCAAAGGATTATTAACTAGTTTTGCTTGCTCCTATGTAAGACTAAAGTATGTTAAAAACTCAATGCATACAATCTCGCGCCTACAAAAACGAAATCTTTATAGACATTACAAAATGATCGAAAAATCCATATAATCCATTTATTTATCTGTTATAATAGTACGTGAAGATTTGCACTCAGAAGAAAGACACTTCTTCATCGCACAACAAACAAAAAGTTCCAAAGTAGTATAGCTGTACATAGTATCATTAAGAAAACGTTCGGTCTTTCAATATATTTGGCGACAAGCAATCAAAACAGACATTTTTCATTTATAAACTGTAAATTTTCAGTCAAGAGAACAATAATAGAGCTATCTTGCTCGACAAAATAAAAAAGTTATTATAATATTACAATTTATACACTTTTTAGTTTTTCATTTTAAAAACTTATCTTTGGTATCGCTTGGTTTTTCTTGATGATCAACAAGCGAACAGTCATCATGTTAAAAACTTCGTTTACGAAATCGGATTATGAAAAAATGTGTCTCGATGATGAAACTAGAACTGCACGAACACAAATGCTTGAATCACAAGCCAGTAATATATACAATGTACAATCAGTGAAATTGGGTTATGTATTAACTAAGAATCTATCTATCAAACATGAGTGTCATCTTTGTTTCTAGGAAATTGTCAGATGCAACTAGATAAATCTGAAAAACATTTGACAAATGTTGAAAAAGAACTAGAAGAATTACAACAAGGATATAATTGGCGAGTCTGCCATACGATTAAAAATCAAAAATATCGAGAAAAGAATATAAATGAAAAAATAACAACAAAATATGCAAAAAATTCTAAGCATCATCATCGACGACAACAAAAGAAGTCAACATCAGATGAAACAATAGATAAGAATATCTTATTATCCGATCAATATTCACGTGATATGAATTTTAAACGAATGCAAGAATTAAATTTTTTAATTGATAATGAAATTCAAGATCAAATTAAAACATTAAATTGTTTACATGCGAATGTTGATTTAAATACACAAAAATTAATTGATACAAACTTTCGTGTTAGACGTACATTATAGACTAGTCATCAGTCTTGAAATCAATAAAGTGAAATTTCAATTTTTTGTTCTGTTTGTACAAACATTTATCAGTTCATTTTTTAATACTAAATTGTTTTGTTTTCAGTTGACTTAGCTTCATTGCAGATAAAACGTTCATTTATTGACGATAAGGGCAGGTTGCGCCAGTTTTTTGTTAATATAAGAAATAAGGAGAAGTAGCAAGTGGATAGAGTCAAAAGAAAATGGGAAGAAAACGATGACGTTATAAAAGAATTCGTTTTTTTAGACATTTCATGACTTTCAACTCTTTTTCTGTGAGCTCTTTGAACTTATAATTGTAATATTAGTTCAAAAAAGAATCTCTTTTTCAACAAAAAGACTAAAACGTTTAATAGATTGAGAAATATTTTCTATAAATTTAAGGTGTTTTATAACTTATGATGTGTAAAACTAACTTATTCAAATCACTATCTTTTCAGCGGACACCTAATCAACGTTATCCACTGACATTCACAGAACAATATCTTTGACTAATCCAATATTTCTCCCATAGTTATGTGCCTAAAAGATAGAGAATATAATCAAATAAAACAGAACAAGTTTTATTATAACAAAACTCAAAAAGTATTAGACTTTCGTAATGCACACGATTTATAGATAAAAATAGAATATGCAAAATATGCTAGAAAACATTTTTAATCTCATCTGCGTTAGTGATTAAATGAAATCAGCTGACTAAATTGTATAAATTTTGTTTATTTTGTATAATGTAAATATCTTCATACGTTTTTTAATGTTGTTCACGATTTTTTCACGTATTCCAATCACCTTTGTATTACTGTTTTTAATAAGTATTTGTGTAATATCAAAAACTCTCAACAAATGTCCTAAAAACTAACTGTTGAATAAACAAATAATATTATGTATAATAATAATGAACGACACATTTCTACCGAAATCAGAATAATTGCTTGTAAATTTGTTAAAAATGTAAAGAAACTTACGTACGAGATAAAGTGTCGGAGATTTCCAATAAAAATCAGCATATTTTTGAAGTCTGACAAAATGTTTCCGTTTACAGGTTTAAAGTTAAAACGACTGTCTAAGAAAGTTTCATTTCTTAACCAGTTATTCCTTTATTATGAGAATGTAATAAAAATAAGGTTTATCCTACACAAAAATATTTTATTAGCACTCGTTGTGCACGGGTGCGCATCGGTGCCGAATATTTTTTTTCTAGACACCGATGCGCACCAATACCAGAAAGAATATAAAAATCTTGCATCGGTGCGTATCAGTGTCGGAGTTTTGTTTTCAATCACCATTTTGTTTTGTCAATTTCTGTCTATATTAACATCACAGTCTACTTCTAATATTTCGAATGTCTTTATTCTAACTTCATATTTTCCTTCTCATAAGAGAACTGCCGAGGCAATGCCACATGGTTTTGGCATGTCAATGTGGTACTGATCAGTAATACAAAATTTAGCATAAACAACTATAATAAAAAACTAATTAAATTGATTAAATAAATTTCAGTGCGGCACTGATTTTTTCCAGTATGGCACTTTATGGGCAGAAATATATCGGCACTGGTTCGGCACTTGCTGGGCATGGGTGCACACCGGTACCAACCAGTGCCAGTGATCAATGGCATGCCATACGCATCGGTGCGCATTGGAATTTTATTATAGGGTAAAACATAGTTTCAGCATCTCATGTTCTCAACTGAGCTTATCTTCTTGACAAAATTTGATTAGAATCAATTGAATGTTTTCCAGAGTATTAATCTTGTATGTCTTCAATTCCATACGAAAAAATTTATCTTTATTTCTTTATTTTAAAGTTTAATAAAATTTAGTTTGCATCATCTTTTGTTTTCTCTTTCGTCTACATACACACACGCACACACACACACACACACACACAGAGTTATATAACATATGTTTTAAAAAAAACTGTTTACTAACTAAACTGATATACATACACAAGGCAGAAGAAGAAGAAGAAAAAAAGGTTTGTTTTTGCACACAGCATTCACACAACAGACAACAAGTTAATGAACTGAAACAGAAAAAAGAAACATAGAATTTCATAATGAGTTGTAAAAAAAAGAGAAATATTGCATGCATAGGAGCAACAAAAAGGACAAGCAACACTTTGAGACGTCAAAAAAAAAAGATTTAGTACAGTCCACAAAAAAGTATAAAAATAAACAGTCGGACATTTCCATATAGAAGTTTCTGTACAATTAGTCTGAACATGAGAAACAAGAAAGGGAGAGAGAGACAGTTCATTTCAAAAGAAGAAGACGACAAAATATTTTATATCCTTCTTCATAACATAATAAAAATTCGAACTGAGTTACTATTAACAATCAGTTTTAAACAAACAAACATTCGAACGCCAAATAGTGACCAACAAAAAAGAAATTGACGACAGAAAAAAGAAGGAGTTTAATTACGTTTAGAGAAGGTCATGGCTAATCGCTTCGATATTCAACATCAAATGAGAGAATAAAAAAACGCATTAAAAAAATTATGTCTCACATGCAATTTTAACTTCAACTACTACTAAGAAAAGAAAGGCCATTACAACATTCTCACAAAAACGATTGAGATACACACATGATGTCTACTATTTTGTGTGCGCCATATCTTTGTGTAGATAAGTTAATAAACGTGCATTTTTACATCAGTCAAAAGCTAAACACTAAAAGAAAGTATAATGAATTAAAGGTATGGTGAATTGAGGTTTAGACTCTTTCAAGCATCTGAACAACAAAGTCAAAAAAAAGCCAATTACAAAAGAACTTGTTAATCCTTTTGACATCGTTTAACAATTATTTATGTTGCCTTACTCGAGTATGTTTCACTCTATTCATAGATTATGAAGTATCGAACTTACCTCATACGAGTTCCAACACTTTGACGACACCTTGGCTATTGGCTGCTAGTAAAATATTTTCACGCTAAAAATGGAAAGAAAGAAATGAATGTAAAATACCTCGAAACATTTATGTTTTTTTTATATACTCACATTACTCCAACACATTGCACTAACAAATTCTGAGCCAGTATCATCTTTTTTCACACGATCCTACAAGGAGTAGAAATGTTATTTCATTGATAGAACATAAAATAAAATATATTCTTACAGTTGATGCTTTTGTAGTTCCATCATCAAATTTATAATTTAGTAATGGTCTTGATATATCACGTTGATATAGATGAACTGTATTTGTTTCACTACCTGCAATAAAATAAATTAAGTACTCTATCTTATGTTTGATCGTATTTAATAACTCTGTCAATTTACCACAGACGATATAACCGCCGGATACGGCTAAACCCACAAAATTTTTCTCATTTACATGACCACGATATGTTCGAAGACATTGACCTTCTGTTACTCTCCATAAACGTAACTGACTATCCGTTGAACTATAAAAAATTAACAAAAATACATTAGAATAAAGCATCTGAAATGAAGAGAATAAAGATGCTTACGCTGACACAATTTCATTTGGTGATAAAAATCGAGCATAAGAAACAGCTTTTCTGTGTCCTTTCAATAAGTTACATGGTTCACGAGTATTTCTTAAATCGAAATAATATAAATTATGATCTAAATAAAAAATAAGTTCAATTGAAACTGACGCATCTAAAAAGATATTTACGATGAACCTGCTGTTCCAAAGACGATATTGTACTGAGAGTCTGGTTTAAATTTCACACAGCACACATTTGATTTGGCATCGATTGTTGTCACTGAATAATCATTATGCATTGACCAAATTTTAACTAATGAAAAAAAAACAATAATATGATGTAAAAGGTTTTGATATAAATAATGGTGTCTTACCTCGACAATCGTCAGAACACGATGCAAGTAGTTTTGGATCAGATGAACAAAAATCAACGCTCCATGACCGTTTTTCATGTTCCTTCAAAAGTAAAATAATTTTATTTCATTTTTTCTATATAGATGCAGCAGATCACTCTCTTCACCTGAAACGTTCGAACTTTTTGTCCTGTTGCCATATCATAAATACTGACAAACCCATCATAATCACTGCTTGCTAGGTAATTTCTTAAATAACTATTCCAACTGATACAACTTAATTTTGCTGAACAACTAACTTCTTTGATGGGATAATGCATATCAACTGTATTATCCAGTACCGAATTATATTCGTATAACTAGAAGGGAAAAATATTTTTAAGTTAAACAGAAAACTAGTAAAAATGTATTCTTACTTTAATTTTTTTAGAAACACCGGCCACAGCAAAATGTTCATGATCACGATCGAACTCAATACTAAAAAATACAAATGTCACAGAATATGCGTAATGAAAGTTGATAAAACGTCAGTTTTTCCAGTTGGCCCTCGGAGATTAATTCTGCGAATGAGTGTAACAGTTTAGAACTACTTATTTTGACTATTTATCAAGCATACAAAAGAGATCACTGTTTACTGATATTTCTACATTTTCATCACAATCAAGAGAACATACCTTGATACAATGCTTGCTTGTGCATAATTTTCACCAACAAAATTAACAGATGATAGCACTTTACAACGAGAATATTTTGTTACAGCGGCTAAACTATCTCGAAAGCTGCCTAATCCAACGTCTGAACTCAATGTCCCATCTAAAATACAAGGAATATCCCTATTAGCGAAAAAAAGAAGAAATTTTTTGAGCATTTTGGTTTTGAGCCGAACTTTTCAAAAACCCGGTCATTACTCAAAAATTTTAAATACAAACAGTTGTTTTTTTCACGACCAGACAGCCTATCGTGTCTCCTCAAAACGGAAGCAAAGCGAGAGCCTCATCTTTCATAGTTTAACAGTAACAGTAGATATCCTGGATATCATGGCAACATTTGTTTTCATTAAAAGTTTTCAACATCTAATTGAAAACCTGCTTTATGTGAAATAATCCATTTTATGCTATTTTCTGGAAAAATGTGTAGCTCATTCGACACCGATTGAAAGTGTTTCATGATTTTAAAAAATACTCTGTTTTGCATGCTGGTGTGGTTCAAAGTGCGAAAAAAAGCTGGTTTTTAGAAAAATTGGTGAGATTTAAGACGTTTTTTAATTTAGAGGACCTTTTGATTTATTAACATGAAATCTACTTGATACTCCTAAACTATAAAAGATGAGCGTCTTTGAAGTGTTTGATTTTATATGGTGAAGATCTCAATCCGCTAGTTATCTTCTAAAAGGAGTTGATAAGGAGGTGGCAGAGTTTATTTTTTTCTTTTCTGATAATATATAGACTTTTGATATTACAATGCTTACCATTATCAACACTCAGACGACGTGAATTACGTGTTGAAAAATAAATATTTGTTAGATCTTCAACGAAACGCATCATTATTTTTGTTCGATGTTCTATATCAGTTGTTGATTGTGTTTCTTCAGGAACCTAGAATCAAAAAACTTATCATTCTTCTTGCTGTGAAACAAGCACAGTAGAATTCATACCACAGCTCCAGATGCGAGTCTCGCATCGATACTTTCTGTCTTGACTTGATGTGTTGACGTTGTTGTTGTTGTGGGAGCAGCAGCAACTTGTTTTTCTTCATTTGTTTCAGGTGTAGCACGTAAATCCTTTGAAGGGAAACATCATTTGTGATATTCAAAAGAAAAGTTTTTTTTAAATCATCTACTAGCGTTTGCTCTTCTTACCTGTACACCAGTGGCGCTCCATATAGGAACATTATCATTCACTGTTGCATTATCATTTTCTGCATCATTTGTTGTACGAACAACAATTTGTTGATTTTTATCATCAATCTTTAACTGAGATTTGGTTGTTATGATGGTTATTGTGGATGACGATGGGGATGATGAGCCGGTCACTTTTTGTCGTTTACTCATTTGTTTTAAATCATAATCAACTATACTCAACTCTTTTGATAATGAATCTAATGCCTTAAAATATTGAAACATTTCGTTTTCTACTCTTCTGTTTTCATTCATTTCTTACTCCACTTCGTTCTTGATGGACATGCAGTAAAAATATTTCCAATAAACGATTATGAACATATTCGCTATTCTAAGATCAATGAGAAAAGCAAACAACTTGATGTATATTATTGATTTATTTATATCCTTCTTACTGCGTCCAATTTTTCTTTATGTTGTTGCATTATATTAATCAAATGGTCCAAATCTGCCGATTGTAGTGAATTAAGATTTGTAACCATATTTGAAATATGTTCAACAACACCCTACATAAAATAAAGGATGAATAGCTATTTGAATCTAAGCTCTATTGTTCTAGATTACAAGTGGAATAAATTTTCTTGTAGTATTCTAAAACTTAAATATTCAAAAAACAAAAAATTAGTTTTGCACAAATAGAATATCGAGTCCATCAACTTAGTTTTACAGTCAACTGTAAAAGTAAATTAACTGTCTATTATTTATATGTTGTAAAACGATCGATGTTATATTAATTGTTTCAACTTTATACCTAAAACTCAATAACTTACGCCTTGTTTATCGAATTCATTTGACAATGGTTTTTGCTGACGATATTTTTCAATCAATGAATTTACTAAGAGGAAATATGAAACCAAAAAAATGTAAAATAAACAACATCAGAAGGCATACATGTGTAGTTTGGAAATATATCAGCGGATGCTAATGGATTTTGACATTTTGGACATCGATGGTGTTGTTCAACCGTACGAGTTAAACATTTACTACTGCAAAAAATCAACGATCAAAAAGTTAAATTAGCAAAGAAAAAGGATGAATGTAAACTTACCAAAAACTGTGACCACATCGCGTAACAAAGGCCTCACTTATCAAATCAAAACATATAGGACTAAAAGATAAAAATCGTTACCATATTGTGCAAGAATTTCATCTGTCTCCTACCAGTTGTATTCTTCTTCAACATTGGTAGTAATCAGCTTTTGTGCTTGATGATCATTATCACTACGAGCACGTTTTAGACCAGCCATCTGAAACATTTTTAAAGGATCTATACAGATATAAAAAAACGAATTTGTTCAGACAGCTGCACGTGGCAAGAAGTTTTGAATTGATTCATTATCTATTGGAAAAAATGGCGAACTAAAACTTACAATTCAAGATAATTTGCGTATGTGTTGCGTGCAACCGTATAATTTCTTCTTCTTCACTTATAGTTTATAACTTATCTTTTCACTGTACCTTGGTCCTTTTCAGTGGAAACTACTAGTGCTCTGAAACAAAAGAAAAAGAAGGTCACATGGCTATTTTCTATCAGACAGCTAGATCGTATGTACAAGTTGAACAAAGAGTTAGACTGATATAGTTTTAACAGAATAATAACACGCAAACAGCCTAACAAAATGCTATCTGTCTGTTCTTAATCGAACACATGCGATGCAATTTCAACAAAAAAAATTGACTAACCAAGAGAATAAAAAAAATATAGTCATATAAACTAATCAGATTTTGGTTACGATAAGTTACAACTAAATTCTTGCCATTGTTCCGTAATCATGCCTCGGACATCATTTGTCTAGGAACTATAGGGGTATAGTAGTATTATAAATAAAGAGAAAATGATTCTATTTTGCGTTAATTACCCACAGAATCAAAAATATATTGAAAACACTAAAATAGATGGCACTCTCAGTTGGTTACAGATATATATGTTTTCAATTATGGAATTCTGATTAAGTTCAGCATTTCTCCGGCTGGTATGAGCGCAGGTAGAAACAATGTGCCTAGTACATGAACTACTTTCCATTTTAAAGCAAAAAAAATTGCATCATTTTTTCTGATCCCATCTTTTTAATCATGATCCGGGATATTTACTATTCTGCATTTGAATTATACACGGCGTTTCTTCGAGATACAAAACATATGAAGAACACGGAATAAGACGCCTTTTAGCTTGACTGAATTTTAATTCTTTTATATCCAAGGAGTTTTTTCCCCTAAAAGGGAATAACTGTAAGGTTAATCTACAACCAAATCTGGTTTACATACTCTTGATGTAATTTATCTTAATCTATATATATATGTACGCTTCTATTTTCGTAGCAGTAGTCATCCTTAGAAAGTCTCATATCGACTGGTTCATTCGAAGAGAAAAGAACCAACATTTTCAAACATATAACAGCTGATGAAAAATATATTAAAACTGTTCAAAGAATTTATAGATGTATCTACTATTATGTAACACTATATACGTGTTTGGTAAAAGTTTGTTAACATATACGTCGTTTAAATAAGCTTGCCAAAAGATATTTAACTTTTTGTTTGACCAAGATTTTGAAAGTTTTGTAGAGGATTATCAGGTCAGTGTTTTAAATGAAACATTTGAGCTAAACTCACATTCGCAACTACTCGAGAGAATTGTGCTACTTATATGATACCAACGAAATTAGTTTACGTAATAACTTTTCTTTCTTCAATTAGTTTTACTTGCGTTTTCTTTTTTTGAATTTTAGAATGAGATGAATGTTCTTTCACACTCACTCTAATGTCAGAAAACAGTAATGTCGCTTTGATTCAACGTGTGCGTGGCGAATCATTCTTAGTGGCACCACGCTACATCAATTTGAAGTATTTGGGTAATGGATGTTATGGAATGGTTGTGTAAGTTTTGCATAGTTATCGTCTCAATGATAAAATTACTTTTACTATTAATCTAGATCTGCGTTAGATACAAAAACAGATACACCAGTAGCAATAAAGAAAATTTCTCCGTTTGATTATCAAACATATTGTCAACGAACATTAAGAGAACTTCGTATACTAACCCGATTTAAACATGAAAATGTAATTGAGGAGAATTCTTATCGTTTGCTAATTGGGGTAAATAATGTTGATTATTTTAGATCATAGCCATTCAAGATATTATTGTTCCAGAAACAATTGATGACATGAAAGATGTGTAAGTTACTTTTATAGTTTGGAGCTGATTTACTTCCATGTCTAATTGCTTTAGTTATGTAATACAACAGTTAATGGACGCTGATTTATCTCATTTGACACAACATCAAAGTTTATCCGATGATCATGTTTGTTATTTTTTATACCAGCTACTGCGCGGACTCAAATATATTCACAGTGCTAATGTGTTAGTAAGAGAGAAGATGTTTGAACTATTAATGTAGCTTATAACTAGATTTTTTTTACATGCTTTGGAAAAGAGCGTGAATAAAAGCCGGATTAAAGTACATGTTGTTGTGGAAAATGGATGTGTAACATCGAGTGAGAAAATTCAACAAACAAAAATTATTTCATATAACCTTGAATTTGGAGACGTAGAGATTTGCATTTCTCAGCGTAAACATTTCGAATCATTTTTTTTCAACTACTTTTTATTCAAGTGATTTCATGATGTCACGTAATTTCTTTTTCTTTAGACTGCATCGAGATTTAAAACCAAGTAACATTTTATTGAACAAATCGTGTGATTTGAAAGTAATTTAATATTTCAACTGTTATAATAGGTTTCCACAAACGCTCTATTCTAATTTTAACTTGACTAACTATGTGAAATATACTTGATTTACTTTTCAAATTTTTTTCAGATTTGTGATTTTGGTTTGGCAAGATCGTGCGACTTTGGCTATGATAGCGGATTTCTTACAGAATATGTTGGTAAATATATTGATTTGTAGATCAAAAATGAGTGTATGCCCTTTAATTTCTCTACTATAGCCACTAGATGGTACAGAGCACCTGACGTTATGCTAAATTCACGTGGTTATAATAAAGCAAGTAAGTTCAAAATTGTACTCTTTTCTCATTTTATAATTATTGAGTGAAAAATTCTTACTTCTTTTTCCAGTTGATATTTGGTCGTGTGGATGTGTTTTAGCCGAAATGATGCTTGGAAGACCACTTTTTCCAGTATGTATGAAATATTAAGAGAAAACGGATGTTTGTTGAGAATGAGCTTGTTTAGTATCTGTACTGTAAAGTACAAGATTAAATTAAGGAGAAACGCTTGAAACACTCGATAGGATGCAATTTGTTTCAATGAACCTTGTATGCTTAAGGGCCGACATTATTTGGATCAATTAAATATGATATTCGCTGTTATCGGCTCACCATCAAATGATGATTTAGAATGCATTCATAATGAAAAAGTGAAAAAACTTGATCTACCGAGTCATTGTTTTTCATTGAATTATAAAAAAATTAATTTTCTTAGGCTCGATCGTACGTGGCAGCATTGAAGCCATCCTCAAAGATTCAACTCATTACATTATTTCCTAAGGCGAATTCATTAGGTAAAATGTCAGATGTTTGTTATTATTGCTCTGACTTTTCTTTGACTCTGTTGTTAGCATTGGATATGCTTGACAAACTTTTAACATTCAATCCTGACAAACGTTATACAGCCGATGAAGCATTGGCACATCCGTATTTAGCTCAATATTATGATGCAGATGATGAGGTAAATTTTTATTTAAAAATAATATGATTTATTTGTACTATTTAGTTATATCATTTTTATAGCCTATTTGTCTCACACCGTTTACCTATGATGATGAATTGTCTGGTCATTATGAGAAACACGAATTGAAACAGATGATTTTTGACGAAATACATAATTTCAAAAAAATAAAAGAACAAAACAAGTGAGCATCTATCTCATTACTCTATTATTAACTCTATGTGTTGTAATCTGTAGAATTTTCTATGAAAATCACTTTATGAATGTTTAGTATGTAGTTTATAATATATGTGTTTGCAATCGAAAAATTTTTCTATATAACATTTTTTAGGCTATTTTTTGTTGAAACTTTATCATACCTTCAAATCAGAATAAATGCATTTTTGTATATGAGTCAGATAAGACAATTGTTTATTCTGTTTTTCGTATAATGAAAATACTTATTTTTTTTTGTGCTATATACAGACTGTGTTTTCGTATATTATTTGTTGATGTCAGTTTTTTTGATAATAAATAGTGTGCAATTCTAGTTTATCTAAGATGGAGTTATAAGTATGGAGATATATGAACTCCTGTTTTCGAAAATGTTAATTTCATAAATCGAATCCATTTTTTTTAAGATGTCTAGTACTAGGACATGAGTTGCACTCATCATATATCGTTTGAGAATATTATATCTACATTAAATGAGTTCGGTTCATGATCCATTTGCATTATTTCAATAGAATTAGTGAAATTTTTAAACACTATGCCACTTCATCTCATCAAAAGTGTCAAAGATTTAGAAAAACACAACACATTTATTGATTTGCAGATAATCATACTTGATTGCATATTTATTTGTTGAATATCACGTTAAAATACACTACACAAAAATTTAAACAATTTCTCTTCTCCTTATGAATTCTACTCAAACAAAGAATACTAATTTGTATGAAATACTAGGCGTACCATCGACGTGTTCACCAGATACATTACGAAAACAATATCATCGTTTACTATTGGAATATCATCCCGATAAATGTTTTGATGTTGAAAAATTAGAACGATATTATTCGATTAAAAATGCATTTAAAATACTATCCGATGATACTTTACGCCAAAATTATGAACAAGAACAAAAACGTCAAACATTAATAATGATGCCTCTATTACATGTGCATATCGATGATATGGATGAATTTGTGGATAACGATTCAAGAAATATTTCTTATTCCTATGATTGCCGTTGTGGAACTCTATTAACAGTTGAGAATGATAAATTACAAGAACTAGAAATAAATGGGACAATTATTATTGAGTGTGAAAATTGTTCGATGACGATAGAAATTCGAAAATAAAATAAAACTAACATAATGTGGACAACTGTAATTCTTTTTTTGTGAAACTCCGTCAGTATCTCCAAAGGAGAAGGAGTTGAAGTTTTATACTCGAAAAATCTTGATTTTGACCTATTTTCAACGTCAACAAATTCATCAGATTAAGATTGTTTTTATCAATTAGGAGATCTCGACAGATTTTATCTGATTACGTAGGAAATTCTGCGGATTTTAGTTCGGGTTTATTATTCTGCAGATTATTTTATTTTAGTCTAAAACCGTTTTTCAATAGAAGAAGCGACTTCGAAACGTGTGTATACCTTCTAGCAGCATTCTGCTACTTCAACAAAATTTGATAGGCACTTGAGGCTAAAAACGTCTTTAGACCGTCTCATAGACTCTGTAAATCATACTATTTCCTAAAAAATGTGAATAGCAAATATTCGAAAGGTAATATTCTTTTTTTGGTAACATAGTAGTAAAGTTTTATCTTTTGAATTTTTGTCTAATATAGCATATTATGAGGATAAACAACAATGAGAACAACATATTATTTTTTCACAAAATAAATATAACACCCTTATTTAATAAATCTCTTATAATAGCAAAAATGAAATAAATATATCATAGTTTTTTTTCTGTTTTTTCTAATTCTATACCAAACAATCTCTGTTTCTGTTTACTTGTATAATCAAAATTTTCTATTTTAACATCCATTCCAGCAGGAACATCGACTAAGCAATGACATACTATATTTGTTAAGTTCATATTCACCATCAATTTCTAATTGATCTAATTCTGCAGTACAAATTAAATTCACAGTTAACATTCGTTGGTTATAAGTATAAATCAACGAGACATTTCCGGCAGGTGTCACAGACCAACTCATCGCAGTTTGAGTTGCAATTGGAAACGATTGTTCACCGTCCTTAGAAACTAAAATATTTTAAAGTAAATCATACAAACAAGCAAAAATAGCACTTTAATTTGTCATTCTTGAGCTCAATTGTGAGACACATTGGGGATGTTCTTATGCAGCTTCTCCCACTTTATATACGACTTTAAATTAGTATCCTACAACAGTATAGAGTTATGTATAAATTTATATTTTTTTTAATAAAAACTCAGTGAAACAGATGTCCGAAAATCCATTTTTTAACCAAAATTTCGCCTATACAATGACTGTTTTACTTAAACTACTATTCATTTCGAAATAGCTTGTGTTGTTTCGAATAACTAGAGAATAAAAAGCGACAGAAACATGTGGTTTTTACCATTTTGTAGAGAAGTGTTTACTGCATTTTTTTATGATATATTTATTTCGGTTTCGCTGCAAGCTACCTATTTCAGTCTGATTAGCTCTTATGATCTTAAAATCAATTCCAAACATAGGTTTTCGGCCATGTCGAGTCTCGTGGAAATGTTTGTTTCCAGAAAAAAGTTTAAGAACGTAGTGAAAACCTATACTGAGTGAAATAACTCATTTGTAACTGTTTTCGGGTGAAAATAGTTACATCATTAAAGTAAATTAATTAGAAAATTCCTAGCTCAGTCAAAATCGAACTAGATCACTTCAGAATTTCGACAGATACTCTATCTTATGTACTGAATCTGGTACTACAGTTAAGATTTAAAAAAAAATATTCGTTTACTTCCAACTTTTGCTTGCCGTTGTTATCTATTGTTTCATTGTCACTTTCTATTCGTTTTTGAAACTTTTGCTGAAATCTGGCATATATAGTAGCCTAAATGGAGTATATGATGCAATTCTGAAGTGGTGTAGTTCAATTCTGACTGAGCTAGGAATTTTCTAATTTCTGGTGAAAATAGTTACAAATGGGTTATTTCACTTAGTATAGGTTTTCACCATGTTCTTGGACGTTTTTCGAAAAACAAACGTTTCTACGAGACTCGACATGACCAGAAACCTATATTCCGAATTACTTTTAAGATCATGAGGAGAAAAATTTTATAATAAATGTGGACTCTCAATTGTGGTCACTACTGTAAGATTATTTTAGTAAAAAAAACGACGAAAAATTGTTAGAAAAACTGTATGACCAGCGTTCAAAGAAATTCAAAGAAAAACTATCAACGACGTTTTTACCATTGCGAGTTTTTTAAATATTGAAACAAATTTCGTCAAAATGTGTATAAACAACCCTGTTAACTACGCATAACGCCTCTATAACACTCAAAGCTGCGTTCAGAAATTGCGAGACAACTTTTTGAATAATGTTTTTTTTAGTACTAAATTGAAATTTGACTATATTCTGATTCTATTTATTGTTTATTCGAATGAGAACTGGTTTTTTAGAAAAAAATGGTATTATATGTTCTGTGGTCAAACTTGCTTTGACTTAGGTTATCGGCTTAAAAGCGAATCAGTTACTGACACTGATAGATGCATTTTTTGTGTTCTATCTGATTTTTATAAAAATTAAAACTGTCTTTTTTTAAAAATAACACACTGCTTCAAAAAATTGCGTAAAATGAACACATAGTTTGTCCCTTACATCTTGCACATTAGAAAGGTTTCAAACATTAATCTCGGTCTATAAAATGATGATAATGTTGATTGGTGGGGTGAACTTACAGAAAAAATCATGAACAAATTATTTTCAAATTTTCAACGCTTTCTGGCTTAATTGTAATATTCTACAAACCTTATAAACTGGATCAGTTTGTTTTCATAAATAAACTGATTGACTGCTATGGAAGTATGTAATATTTTCGCGTAAAAAATTCTACTTACACCTATCTTCTAGCCATTCAGGTGTGAATTATCATTTTTTTTTTTGACAAAATATGTTGATAATGAAAAAGTCGACTAGTAAAGTATTGTTCTCGAAATCAATTATACTCTTGAGAAAAAAGCAGATGATAATCTAAGATTATCATTTTACCACTTAGCAAAATGGAACAGTGATTTCTTTGGTTGTAATATCTATTTTATCATAACTTTATCACCAGCAATTGAAGTCAACTTACTCGACTACTGGCTTTCATAGATCATGATGTCTTTATTTTAAATGAATCATGTTGTTATGGTAAGCATTTGAGTAATGAACTTTTGAGAGTACAAGATATTAATACAATAAAAAAAAGAGGTAAAACTAACGTTTCTACTATTAGTAGAACTGACTTGTTAGAGTTATTCAATATGTTGAACAGTAAACTACCGTCATAAGTAGTAAAAATCGAACGTACACCGTCATTGAGTTCTGACGATCCTTTTCGACTTGATACCGACAGTTATTACATTCTGACACGTATATCAAAAAAAATTTTGATCATTTGCGTTCACAAATGTCATCCTCAAGTTATTATACACATTAGAGCTCCGCTTTCCTCGATCGACAATCGAATACTCTCTAAAGAAGCTTCATCTCGATCTAAGTAACAAAGTTTCCACTACACTCTTGTTTTTGAATAAGAAAGTAGCTAGTGGTATATTGGATAATGCTCGATCAGTGCGAATATAATAAACTGTGCTTTACCATCTCGGTTTTGACTACATTTCGCGGTGTACTGCAATTGATGAAAGAATAAAATACATATTGGCTAGAAAACTTTTCAGCCATCTGTTAGACAAGTCTTAGATGGTTGTCACTACCGGTGTCTAATCTAATTGATTTTAAGAATAACGAGATTCGTAACCACAATCTGGTGGGCGATTATGGGGACAAATAGTCGATGTTCCTGAGAATACAGGTGAAACTTTTATTGATACTTTTTTTTAGAAATCTTCGAAATTCTAACTATACAGGTTTTTCGTCGATATATATATTTTGCTAGAAATCTGGAAATAAAAACTGATCTGTCTATACGAACTTTTCTTAAAATTTGCTTACTTTGACATCCTGCTACATCCATGCACGCTGCTTCAGTGAAAGGATAACATGGATTATACCTATAATATAAAAATCTAAATCGTCACCACTAAAATCATCGTAGGAACATATTACGAATATAAATAACCATCTGGTCGAACAGTTGATGGTAAATTTCTAAATGCTGGCGTGTTCTTCAAGCCAACGGATAATAAATCGATGCGACCAAATCGACCATCTTTGTATTTACAATCTTTATTCGACTCACATTTCTGAACAGTCAACAGAAAAAATATAGGGAGTAGAATAGAAAACATGTTCATGTTTAATCGATCAAGCATGGAGTGTATAAGATTATTCAGGTGCCTATACTTGTTATGAATAAATTGCACAGCTGTTATTTTCGCACTAACAACACATTCTAGATAACGAGCAGCACTAAAAATTAGACACTTTTGTACTTCATTTTTTTAGTATTGTGATATATTGTTCAAGCTACGTTTCAGGCTCAAAAGAAAGAGGATTTTTTACTCTACAGAATCTTTTGCATGTGATTGTTATATATTGTTCAATTGTCACACGTTATTTAAGAAGTAATCCCGAGCAATTAAAGTATAAACTGCAACCGACAGTCAAAATTTTAGTTCAACTATTAAATGATTATTTAATAAGTAACAGAGATGCACGGAAGATCCATTTTTCAGAATCCGTTCAGCCCGCTGTGTCACTTTCTAAACCGTGTCCATTAAAAAAATTTCTGATTTGTCATTTTTCAAAATTGCTTCGCATAGTAGCATTTTTCTTTTCAATGTCGATATTTCTAAACTTTTCTTCTCACAAAACGTCATGTTTAATTTCAAAACAGTTGTAGTAATACACAAAAATAAATCAAAAAGTCTAAGCTTTTGTTCTACAGAACAAACGATGATAATGTCGTTTACTGTTTGTTGGCTTAGCTTAGCCTAGTGTTATTTTACCAACTTCTTTGATAAAATCTTTGTAAACCATCCCAAATGACAGATTACGTGTAACAAAGAATCTGACCGCTATTAAAGAATATTGCATAGGATTTATCTATTGATGACTTATGGCGAGCAAAATATATTTTATGATGAATTAGCAATGACAGAGTATGGAAAATGCGAGCAAATATAGCTATGTATTGTTGGTAGATACACCTTTACTACAGTTAAACTGATAACTACACTTACATTTAAAAAAAACTACTGTCTAAATGGTTGACAAATGTGACTACAACAAACAAAAAGAAATCAAAAAAATTACACTAAAAACGTACGAAATACACTTGAAAAAAGAATTAGAATATGGAAAAATAAAATCTTTCCTCATTTCATTTTGTAGAAGTAGACGTGGTGATATAATCGTACAAAAAGATCATTCAAAAATATAAATGGATGTATTGTTCGAAGGCAATCACTGTGCTAAAAAGTTTCACATTAATAAATACTGATTTAGAAGATGTATGTTCTATTAAAAAAAGCTGAAAAAGTATCTTTATTTAAAGTCCTTTATTGAAATAGACACGTTGGTTATCGTTCATACCATCATGTAATAATTTTTCTCGTAATTTTGGATCTAGTTTTGAGACAGCTATGGAGCTTTTTTGAGGAAAGAGAGCACAACACATAGGCGTTGCAAAAACTAAAAACACACCACATAAAGCAATTTGTATTGGACTATTCAACCATGTACGACGACGCATAAATTCTTTTTTCTCAAGAAAATTCATTATAATTGGCGGTATTATCATGCCTGGCACTGCCATTCCAATACGACTTAAGACAACTTGACTAATAGCTTTTTTTGCAGCATTACTCGATTCACCAACACGTTTACCATTTTCATCAAATACTGCAATACCATCTCGAATTTCATTATAACGCATAAATGGTAAATTAACACAATTAGCGCCTGCCACAGCAGCAAATGGAACAAAACGAGCAGCAATAGGTGGTAATTTCGTAACAGCAGCTATAAAACAAAAAAGTCACTATAATAAATGTTTCCTATTAATAGATAATTTTACCTTTGAGACCGAGAGCCGTTGCTGTCGCAGCTGATGTTGCAATTGCATATGATTTAGCAAGATCTTGGTTACTGATTGGTTTATCACCTTGTAATAAAAGAAACAAGAAGATAAACTAAAATAATAGAATTTTTCAATAGAATTTACCACTGCGATTTGTATAATTCACAATGGCATTAAACGACTGATTAATCCATTGCCAAAATATGATAGCTGGAGTACTTTTATAAAACGTTAGCATAAAACCAGTAATAGTCATGTTACATGGCACTGAAAAAAAAATGAACATATTATATTAAAAAACAATAACTTCAATAGGAACTATTACCTTGTGCTGACATGCGACCTGCTAAAAACATTTTTTCTTTTGTGTCCGGATGAAATGCGCTATCATACAAATATTTTGCTCGCCACAATTCATCAACAGATAAATCACGTTTAGCAATAATACCATGACGATAATCTTCGACGATTTGTTTAGCTAAAATACATATAAGTGTCATATTTTTGTTAAATTTTAATCAACAATATTGTCCTACCTTCATCCAATTGTTTTCCACTAGCCAAAAGATTTAATGGATTTGTTGTTAAAAAGAAATGCTTTGCTCGTCCCGTATAAGTGTTTTGATCATAACGAGGATCATCAATTTTAATATTCGCATCTTTGACAAGTTCGGCCATTTTTATGCTGATGTTAGCTAATCTAAAAACAAAGACAACAGAGCATTTTATTCAGAAAAAAGCAAAGTTCATGTTTCAATAGTCTCTAAATTTGAGTACTCATTTGAATTCAAAGAAGGATAAAATCAGTTAGTTTAACGATAATGATGATGTTGCATGCCTATAAATTCAACATTTTTCATGAAAAATTAAAGTAATTTGTCATTTCAGACTTTATGCACTATATATTTCCGAAATACATGTTATTCTTTACCAAACTCTGTTTTTCTAACATAATTGACGTGTCATATATTAATCATGAACACGTAATCTAAACACGAAAAACAGATAACTGACGGAGTCGATAACAAAAAAAAAAGGTCAACAAATAATCATAATACAAATCGTTGTGTAAATATACAAAAGAAAACGATAAACAAAATGTGTCTAGATTGATCGTACTATGACTGAAAACAAAAATTATTACAAAAACACTTTCGATATTGAAAAAACTGTTATTTTCCTTCCCAACAAATAGTCATAGTTTTTAGAAAACAAACTTCCGTTGAACAAATATACCGAAAAATAGTACAGAGTTTGAAATTTAGCTACTGATAGAAAACGATGAGTAAGTTGAGATCAAACCGAACATTTTTACAAGTCTCTTGGTATTTAAGAGTGTATCCTAATCGTTTTATCTTGATTACATGTTTACATAATGAGAAAATTCTCAATCGTGTACTAAATCAGTTTGTGAATAGGATTGTTGTTCGAATAGTCGTCTTTTTTTCACAACTGGACCAGTTTCATCAGAACTATCATCCGATGAAGGAGAAGAATCTGTACTTGATGAACTGGATGATGAGCTGGATGTATCAGACTGAATTCCATAATCTGTGTTTGAATCTATTTTTTCAGCTATTCTTGCTAAATCCGGACGTTTTCGTTTTAATGCTGCCATAAATTTTTGACTCATTTTAGGACGTCCTTTCACCGTTTTGCTCCATACAACTGGAAAATTAACTGATGAACAAAAGTTTTGCGTGCAAGCTATTGTCAAATCCATATTTTGTACAACATGCCACCATCCACCTTGAGAAGAAATAGGGCGTATTTAAAAATTCAATTAAGGAAGAGAATAGGAGACTACATACCGGGTACAAAAATAACTTCACCAGGATGTTGAATTGTTTCAATACATGGATATTCCTTTGGCCACAAACTAGTTTGTGTTTTAGGATAAACAACTTTAAACCACGTAATACCTTCATCTTTTTGTTTTCCGCCTTCGATATGCGTTGTTTTCACTAATTCTCTGGGTGTGTCTGGTGGGAATAAACACCAACGTTTACGTCCTGCTACTAAAGCGTTCCAAGCTGATGTTCCTAACGGATCAATGTGAATACCGGTGCCAGATCGTGCTGGTCCAATACACCACCAACGATAAGGTGGTCGTCGTGTTTCTCTATAAGTTAAATTTAAAAAAAAAAAAATGTTAAACTGAACAATCTGTGCACGATGTACTTACGTAGTTTTATCTATCTAACTCTTACCCAACTAAATGAAATAAATCTTCAGTAAAATATTCTGGAATATCGTAATCTTCCATTAATCGACGTCGTTTAGGATGTTCACCAAATGATGAATCAAACAGATATAATGGTGAATCATCTTGATTATTTTCAGCATAATCCAAAAAATATTTCATTTTTATTTTAACTGAATGACCACTGTCATCTTCACCAACTTTAAACTTTTGATTTCGATACTTTTTTCCCAAACGTGTTGTTGTCCATTTATCAAATGCTGGCCAACTGTCAATTGAATGTTGAATCATTACGGGAATCTAGAAAAATGCTAATCATCTTTAACAGTGTAACGATTGGAGATGTATAAAACAAATAATATTTAATAACAATCAGTTTTCCATATAGGAAAAACTCGAATAGAAAACTTGGATACTTTTTCTTTACAGAAATAGATATATTTCCATACGAACAAGTCTCCTATTTATCATTAATAAAACTCTCTTCTATATACAATAATTCACTACGAAAAAAAACTTACCCCTGGTCGTTCATATCTCTCTATAAATTCTTCATGTGTTACATTTCGAGCATCAATTCGTTCTAATTTATCATTAATTGGTTTTATTTTTGTATCATGATAATAGTCATTTTTTGTCCAATCTTCTAGTTTCAATTCACTACGCGCTTTTACTTTAACAGCATTGATACGTTTAATTGTTCGAGAATTCATATTTTAGAAAAATAACGAATATAACTGTAAAATATACAAAACAAATATATAAAAGAAAACAAGAAATCTTTGAATCTAAAATAAAAGAAGACAACAAAAATGATTGATTTGTTATTTTTGAAGTTTTTCAAAAGAGATACAAATTCCTAATTGGTTTTGTAAAATCAAACAACATCAGAAGAGACAGTAGAAACTAAGTGTGAGTTTGCAAAAAAAAAAACAAGTATCTCTTTTAAGACGTAGTCGTTATTTCTTTTATAAGAAGAAAGAAATAGTGAAACGAAATGATACCATTCGTATATGAAGCGCCACAATAATCAACAGGCAAAAGATATGTTGTATGACGATAAGTATTCTAGTCATGAAAAAATTAGAGTCTATTTAAGATACTTTTACCATTTATGAGGAGACAATGATTGAACTACAACTGAAGAAAGTCATCTTTTCAAGTTTTGCAAATAGTATAGCTAGACAATAAGTAAGAAAAGATTTATTCTGTTTAGATTTTGACGGAGAACGAATAATAACACTTCTTACAATTACTTCTTCTGTTTATGCGTAATAGAAAGTTATTTATCAGAACAATGAATCATCAAAGAAGCCTCTAATAAGTAAAGCAACAACAAACACATTTAAACTATTTCCTAATAATTGGTAACATTGTTTAACAGTAATTTGTTGTGGAAATTTATAATCTACTGGAAAACAATGTAGATTAGCAATTTCTTTTGGTGTAAAATATCTTAGTTGTACAAATTGTTTCAATTTTGATTTCATCGTTTCTTCTAATTGTTTATCATTCTTACATTGATACCAAATATCTTTTGTAATAAAATTATCATTCACATTTATATCTCCATTTATATAGAGTAGTGATCCAGTTCCTTCAAAATATTTTCTATATGATCTTGTAAAACAGCAAGAACGTTTAGAAAATTTCGATACAATATCGGTAATAAAGTAGCCACGAAGTAATTGTTCATCAGTTAATTCAAACATTGAATAATCAATATTTTTTTCAAGAAAATTATCAATAATCAATTGTTCTTTAACTAATAACTGACATGAGTTACTACATTGTTCATATGTATCATTAACTACTTTACCATTAGGTAAATTAATATTTTCTGATGATGTAAATGTTGAGGTTGGAAATTGTAATTTTAAATTATTAAATAATTTATCTAAAGAATTGGATACGTAACTTGTTTCAATTGTATCGTTCGTTATTTGTTGATTACGTCTTTCAGCTACTAAATAATATCTCAGACGTGAATTTGGAATACCATACTGAATTGGAGACAAGAGAAATTGTCTATAAGAATAATGATTTGATAAAAGTGTTTTTAATAGTAATTGATGTGCTTGTGATCCATTAAAACCATCAACATTTTCTAGTAAGATATACTGTGGCTTATTTTCTAATTGATCAATTATACTCATTAAACCAATAAAACCGTTCGAACGATTATCTTCTAAACCTTTTTGATGTCCTTGACGTGTAAATGGTTGACAACTTGGTGACATCAGCCACATATTACAATTCCATTTTTCATATTGTTTGATACTGACATTTTCTATGGTACGACACATTACAGATACATTTGGAAAATTATCGTTGTATACTTCATTTGCTGTGTGATTAATATCGAGTGCAGCAACGACTTCAAAATCAATAAAATCTTCTCCATCAAGTTGTTGTCGTTTTAATGCACAATGCATACCACCAATGCCACTAAATAGTTCAAGAACACGAAGTTTTCTATTAATATCAGACATCTAAAATAAATCTGACATGACATCTTCAGATTTGCTATCTATGCTATCTAAAGACGTCCAAACATGTTTTTGATTTGATTGTACATTCCTCTTAAACACATACTTTCCCGATTTTATCTCTGATCTTTTCATTCACATAAATAGCTAGGATGAGAGCATATAACAAAACAAAACAGTAAAATGATGAAAGAAAAATAACATTCATATAGCACATAAAAAAGTAAAGTTTTGAAAAAAAAAGTGCTCATCTATAAAAGAAACTATAACCGAAAATGTAAAATGAAGCATGATTAAGACTTAGATCAAATGTTTTAGTATGTTCGATATTGTGATTCAGTCTGAGCAAGTAAATCAAAATGAATAATATTCAACTTAAAGTTTGGTCCAAAAAAAATGACAAAAGTAACATAGCGTATATATAAAACCTAATGTATAGTAAACACCGGGATACTTAAAAACAATAGATTTGTATTACAAACATTTGCTTATCAATACATGAAGATTAACAATCGAATTAGAATCGTGTAAGTCATAGGCATCCATTCATTACTGTAATATTAGTTGATAGAGAGCATAATCAACATGATCTCTTTGAAAATGTCTATCTTTTCCTAATGAACTGATAAAAATTTCATTTTTATTAGTAGTCATCGAGCATAACATTCTCTAATAAAAAATGAAGTCCTCTTAAGAAAAATTAACGTACGATTTAATATACAGATTATGTCAATTTACAGTCTTCAATTAATTTAATTAAATTCATTAATGATGATTTGACTTATAGCTTCGGTTACTGTTTTATTTCGTAAATACTTATCGTTGTTTGACCTACTCCGACATAATAAAAAGTGATTCTTTTATGTTTCTGGTACAAGATAATTTAAAAGTTTTAGCAACGTAGTATCGTGCATCATTTTCTGATTTATTGATCGTATTTTCTTATTATAACGATTATAAATATTTTGAGAACTCGAACATTCAGAATACAAACATTCTGATACGAAACTGAAAATCTCTAAAATTTAATGGTATTAACAGACAGAGCTCGATGACCTAGCTCTTCTCATATCCACATCGATAATACCCGTCAATTTCCTAAAAGTAGCCTTCATGGCTTCAAAAATTGTTTACTAAAACTCATGGCTACCAATCGAGAAAACGCTAGTAATATCTCTATAATTAAAATTTTGCTATACGTTCATTCCGACTCAGTTCTTTTCAGATATAAGTGTGATGATAGTCTATTTTAAAAATATCTAAAATCTCTCTCCAATTCAAGGTCCAATCCAAGACCTTTCTATTTAGGTTTTAGTAATATTTCGACATTATGCACATTATTAAAACAAAAACTGAAATTGTATACCAAAATGATGCTTTCTTTTACACACACAAATACAAAGAAGAGTGAAACTGTGTAGCTTTTACCATGTATATGACCAATAAAAGGTATTTTTCATATCTTGAGATTAAACGAAAGTTGAGAAAATTGTGATATTAAAAAATACTTTAACTATGTGTTATCAATCATATATATAAAAAGAAAACCAAATAGTTTTGTTCTACCACTCAACTGTATACGATTTTCCGGTTCAGTCTGAATTGCTTCCAATTAAATCGCAAATCTTACGTTGTTAGCAGAGGTTTATGGATGTTTTCATTTGATCTAAAGTCCAATTGTACAAGTGTGTTCTACGCACTGCAAAAAATGGCCATTTCCTGTTCTTCACTCAGGTGTACGGAGAAAATGAAGCGAGAAAGAACCAGATACCTCAGTTTGCTTCTCAAAGCCTTTCTTTTGATAGGGAACCGACAGGTTGTCCTCTTTTACAAAATTATCTTTCAAAATATTGTCTATCCATTACAGCAACTAAAACAAGATTCTAAATATGAATTACATTTAGAATCTTCATATTGTGAAATTTGGAAACATTCTTTTTAAATAAGAGCAAAAACTTATCGGCGGTGAAAGTTAATCACCAATAGAAAAACAGATCATATCCTCTATTGACACAAGATAAACGGGACAGGTGGAAATTACTATATGATTTATACATACATTTGTATTAATTATTAAACTTCTAGAATGCGAAGTTTTCTATGAGAAATTGTTGAAATTCATTTTCCGACCTTGTCTACAACTTAAACAAAAAGAATTCTGTTTTAAAAGACTTTTTCAAAGATATACTGGTATTTTCTGATAATGTAATGATAAAGATTTCTACAGTGACGAGTGCAGAAAATTTTTTCGATAGATACAGTCCGCTGTATTATAGAAAAATGAAAACATTGCCGGCTAAAAATCAAAATAATAATAACTTCTTTATGGTCTGTGAAACTGCACCCGCTACATGAATTTACTACTATAATCATCAGTTTGACGCAGTCAATGTAGACAGAAGCTACTTCAATGCGATGCTATAAGATTTTGATGTCCATAATATCGACTCTATTGGTGTTATGTTGCTAAAAGCACATAGGGTAGATAAGTGCGATAAATTTTCTTCCGAGAACAGCGACAGTCAATGTATGGAGTGTTGATAGTTGCGATGCTCGAAGGAAAACTTGTCGGATACTATCTTGATCACAGTAAAGTCAGATGCTGTTTGTCGTTCTCTTACAAGTGGTAGTCATAGTAAAGGCTTCTTTCGAAGTTCTAACTGGCTGACATTCCCACCACTATTTGATAACTGATTGAACACAGAAAATGTATCATTCAACGATAAGTATGTAACATCATAATGAAGGAAAGCCATCAATTGTGAGAATTCGAGAGGTCGGCCGTTCGGAACGGTAAACAAGAGAGATCATTATAGTGGAGAAAAACCGTCATAGCAAAAGATGACGGTAAAAACATATAAAGTATTTTTACACTGATGTTACGGTAAGGATATTTGTGAAAAATGGTGACATTTTTTAACATACTATATTACATATACATATTGTTTTGTGTTATATAATGTTATCTGTGTTAAAAGAAACTTAGTAGAAAATTTGGTCTTTGGACGACTCGTCTACTATAGACATTTTTCTAAAAGAATCCTGTTTATTTTTTACCTCTCGGACTGTTCATTTTCCAGTAAAATTAATTACAGTAAAGGACCGTGGATTCTCTAACTTGAGCAATTACCGTCATAGTTGAATTTAAGGATTCGTTTGATGTTGAACCAAGTACCTTGGCTGTTTTACATGATTAGATTTTTGGGATTAGATTTATGATTTCATCAGAACTTCGCTATTCGACAGATTTTGTATCGCTCTTTTAAGATTTTTCTTCAACAGAATATACTCTGGAATGAAATATTTGACACTGGACTACTTTTTTATAAATTATTTTCTCTTCGGATCCAGTGTAACATGATATTGCAGTAACTGAGATGTTGTCCAATTGATACTTCCTTATCAAAGTAATCGAATAAAATTGTTTTATTACATATTTTTTGTTTACAAACACTAGACGAAATTATCATTATGGAATAAATGATTGTACATTGTATCGTTAACACAAAAAAATTTTCTTTCTCAACTTCAAAACGTTTGCAGTAGGCTACTCGCTCAACATTGTAAAGGGAATTTGAAGTAAATATTGAGTTATTTTTTGCCGTTGTCACTTGATAACAATATCTTTCAACTCATCTTTCTATTAAATTTTTGATTTTGTTTTCGTTGTTTCTTAACAGTTACTCTCTATACTTATTTTTTTTTCAAGTTTATGCCATTACTGTAACAAGATATATCTACTCTTCGTGTGTTTTTCTATTGAAGATCATGTCAGAACATTTATTAATATCGAGAAATAGTGATGGTGATAAAAGAGAAAAATTGAGATCAATCCTCGAAAAACAGTTTACAAAAATAACCAAGTTATTGTATACCACAAGCGTACCGAGTGATGTTCTCGACAATGAAGTTCTTCCTTACATCGCAAATGATGTTGTTTTTACTGATCCATGGCAGAACGGAGGAAGTAAAGAATTATATCGTATTGGAATGAAAGGTATGAAAACGCTTCGATGAAGATTTTTAAGTAGTACATTTTTACTTTATTGTAGGTTTTCATTGTATGTTCAATTTTACCATGGATATTTTTCAATTAAATGTTAAACTGAATGATGATGACACTGGTCGAGTTATTGTTGATGGTATAATGAATTTAGAACAATTTAAATGGATTTATACATATCCCTTACGCACCATATTGGTCTATGATTTTCGTTTGTTGAATAAAGATGTATATGAGGATGAACAAGACGATGATCTGATTATTTCACCATTATTTGAAATTTATCGACATGAAGAAATGTGGAGCTTTGGAGATATGATTGCGAATTTGCCCGTTGCTGGCTGGTTTTATCGAAATATATTTCGTGTTGGTTTCGGTTACGCATTTGTCTTTGCATCAGGTGTAAGTTGTTATCTCAAAGAGTATGTTACTGCAAAGAAAAGACAATGATACGATTTCATAATAGTGATCAATTTTGTCTTACGTTTATCTCTGCTGTTTGTTTTATTTTTTTAATTCATTTTCTATTGCGCTACAATATCATTTTTTATACGGTGATTTTTCTATTATAGTGATAACACATGTGATTTTTTGTGCATTTTTTGTGATATTTTTGACGTTGACTTAACTCTGAAGTAAAACTTGATGAGTACTTTTAAGTGTGTACACGAAAATGCTTCATATAAATTCTGCAGGGAGTAAAAGTTGTCGTTCAAATCGTACAGTGAAGATATTCGGTTAATGTCTTGTAATTATTGTACGAAGTTTATAAAAAGTGGAAAAATTATGAAATGTTCAGCTTAATATGTAGTTATTCCAAACAAATCGTATACAATGGTATCTGAATCAGACAAAATCGTATCAAATTGTATGAAAATCATGTATGAATCGTAGTATCTGATTTGTCCTTTGAATCATATAATACGATCGTACAACTTCCTATAAAAGCGTATAGTACGAACCAGGTGACAAATCAGATACCATGATTCGTATGTAAATCGTACATAATCGTATATGATTTTGTACGATTCATATACCATCTTGTACGATCGGATAGTATTATTCAACCACCTGGGTTCTATTAATTAGACTCGGCATTTTGTTAGTTTTAGATTTAATATTAATTTTATCTTTTATTTTTTAGTGTTCATATTGAACATGAAGGTATAAACAAATTTCATATTTCCAAACAAATTTTACATAAATTAGCTTTGTTTAGACATCCAAATGTTTCTATTGTGATGGATATTATACAAGATGTTTTGGTGATGCAATATGCAGTGTAAGAAATAAACATAATAGACGAATAAATATACTTGTTTTTTTTCATTAAAAAGTTTAAAAGTAGTTAACTTATATTCAATTATTTGTCAACAATTTCGACTAAATGTTTTTGACATTGGTTAAAATAGTTATAAATTCTTCAATGATTGTGTTTTTCTTGAATTTTTATAGTTTGACTCTTACAGGTTTGTCATGCATTTATGTATCCACATGAAGTTGAACAAAATGAAACGAATACGTGTGACGACGTAAGTTGAAATTTATTTATGGTGCCCCTTAAATCATTTTAGATTCTTCGTAAAAATGCTACCGAAATCCAAGAAAAATAGATCAAGAATTAATATTTTTAGGATAGGTCACACTCTTTTCTGCATTTTTTTTCTTTTTCGTTTCAACTGTCTAGTCCTTTCTATTGCCGAGTGAACTAGTTTTCCATTGTATCACATTACGATCCCTCGAAAAACCCTTACGATCGGACTGGAATTTTTACTACAGAAACTTGAGACCATAATGCAAACGAATTTTTCTGAAAATATTTTTAAACACTTTTCGCTTTGACTTATAGAGAAAATATCGGAAAACATCTAAAAAACCAAGTTTTTCATTTTGAGAAACATAAGTTGGGTTTTAAAAAATACCATCTGAGTTATTATCTTAAGTATCCATGGTTAAGATATCAGTCTGATTGAATGGACATAATGAAGTGCAATTGAGAAAGATTAGTTTTCGAGAAAAACGCGAAACAAAGAAAATGCCTCAGAATTTGAAGATAAATATCACTTCACATATAGATAATAGGGCAAGGCAAATTCAAATGTACATGTACAAGGTTCTATGCGACATTTGTGTTAGCGTATACCATTATGAGATTAAGAGCCTTTTTCTTTGTGAAAGACAAACTTTGATTTTTAGAAGGATTGGATTTTTACAGAACAAAAAAGTATGCTGTTCGTGTCTAAAACTAGTCTGCCAGAAAGACGTGATGGTACGTGGACTGAGATGGAAAAAATGTGCTTATTTCGTGTACTTTTCCGTTTTGTATGGAGCAACTCAAATTTATTGGATGAAAGTTTTGAGTTTGTATCAAAATAAAATGAAATTTCATTCCAGTTTTTCAGACAAGCTACGCACAGTGGGCATATTTGGCTAGAGTAGGCGGAAATGTGGTTTTAAACGACAGATACTAGTGCAAAAAAGATGAAAAATATGTTTTCATAGGTTATCGACTATGCTCTATCCAATTGTGATCTCAGAATGCATTTCTGGAAACTTTAATTTAATTGGTTTTTCGGAAAATCTCGGTTTTGGTCGAAAGTTTTGAGTTTTGTTAGAATAGAGGACAGATGTATCACAGCCACTTGCTAGCTACAGGGAGGGACACTTTCTCTTGTTCGAAAGACGTAGAACAATCTTTAGAACATGCAAAAACCACAGATCAACTAGACCAGGGGGGACCGATGCGAGGTCACGGGGCCTGGCTAACCTAGAAGATCTGTGCATCCTAGGGAACTCTGTCCATATGCCGTAACTTCTTGGGATCACTCAGTGAGTGGACAAATTTCGGACAATCCTTGCCCCCTACGCTTCTCAACAAGCCACCTCGCGTAAAGTGGGAGCCCAAGTACATTCAAAGAGTAATAGCAACAAGTGAACTCGGCCTCGGAAGAGCGGCCTAGCGGCTGCTGTGTACAGTGCCAGAGGGGGGTGATCAATAATAAACCCTCTGGACTAGACCTCCCAGCAACAATTCCTGCAAAGGAACCTTCATTCCTTTGCTACTATTGTGCAGGTCCATGGGAAGTCCTGGCCTTAAGCCTATCCTAATATATGTTGTTTCTGTCCATTACCACTATCTGAGCCATAACCAAACATCGTTATCCTAGTTTAAGGTCATTGCGGATCCGTAGTTTAACGTCATTGCGGACGGAAGTACCGATACCGTAAGTGAGAGAATTTAATTTCATTAAACGCTGCCCAATACATAGTTCACTAGATGTAGTTTTTCACGCTGATTCCGAATATGGCATTATTTGTACGAAAAAGTGCTTTGGTGAGAGAGAAAAATGTGCAATACGCGAAAATCCCTTGAGATTTTGGAAAATCCATAAAACCTCCTTGGAAAATATGCGAGATTTTGCGATTTTGGAATACATAGAGAATTTGAGGAACATTTTGATGTGTTTGAATGTTATTTTCGCGTAAGGCTAACGAGGGCGACCCGATTATACTGGAGTACTGTTACTACGGACTGACGTGATGAAGAACGTGTCGCTCTTACTTATTGAATTCGGTGCCGAAATAGAAATATTTTGTTATCAGTAGATAGCTGAAGACGTGCTGGATCTAAATATCTGCTTTGAAATCGCGTACCATAATTGAGTAAGCAAAGAATCTTTATTTCGTATGTAGTAACGATATCCGTAATCGGTTTTGTGTACCGTGATTTCTCGTCGTAGGAACCATTTTCAAAATA